GGACCTAGCTTTTAATACTGTCATCTTCTTTCAACTAAATAGTGTTTAGAGGTCTTGATTCAAAGAAGCATAGTCATGAACATAGTTGTGTTAAAGCCAGTCCTTTGAAGTAGTGATATCATAGTTCTCTCGAGATAACTATTCTTTTTCAATACATATCTGTTTGATGTGATGGTAACTATTAATTTGTTACCTATCAACTGAGTAAAGCATGTATTACTTAGTAGAATAACCTACAGAATAAAGTTTCAGGATTGGAGTCCTTATTTTCCTGGACTCTCTCATTAAAGTCAATAGTCTTTTCATGTAATTAAAGTCAAATAGTGTTGAGCCCCAAATAGCATGTGGAATATGATGCTACTTTACAATAAGGCCTAATGAGGTTTCTAAGGGTTCTTGATATAGTCTTTTGTGCCAAAACTCCCTATAGAAGTTCAAGGATCCTTGACAGTGGGTGCTATAGCATTAGCAGCCCATGTTCTAGCGATGAACTATGAATCTACAGCAGGGTCCAGTATTTGACTAGCTGGAGTGGGTTGGAAGGAGCAGAAGGTAAGCAGAAATAGCCAAGGTTTGATTTGCTGTTCTGTGTGGGTCTCTGCAAGGGAGAGAGACAAGTGAACTGTTTCTTGGCAGAAGGCAGAGTTGGCAGGACCAAGAATTCTGCTCAACAGCGACCCATAGTAACTAAATAGTGGCATCTCTTCTTCAGAAAATAGGACTTCTTTACCTGCATAAATATATAGGTGACATGAAGAAGATATCAGTAACATAGAGCCGAGGTTCCAGATCCAAGTTAAGGAATTGACCTATGAGACTCTAAACTTCTGCTCTTTTTTGTCATTATGCTAATGGATGATTGACCTTTTAATGGTGATGTGATTTAAAAAATAGACTTCCTGGTACAATTCTTTTTGTTATAGTCTTTTACATTAGGCTAAATATGAAGATATTGATATATTTTTCTCATTTTTCATTATCTTATGTCCAAGGTGACTTTGGATTTAAGATGACCCCCCCAATAATTAGATTCTAGACATAGAAAAGTATAGATTTGTTATAATTTTCACTGTTTAACTATTGGATGGTTGCCTTAAATTTGTCCCCAGCCCCAAGGAGTGGGGGAGCAGGCAGCCTGAACCCTACACCTTACTCTGCTACATTTACTCACACTCGCCACATTGCTACTGACTCCATGGCTACGAGCAGCAGCAGCCCTGTCAGTTCAGGCTCCCATCCTGGGGCAGAGCTGGAAGGCTGATACTTGAATCCAAGATGAAGTTCATTTCCCCACCCTGTTCACTGAAGGCAGAGGGGGGACCCTCATCTTGGATTTGAGTAAATACAGTAATTCTCTAAAATGTAGGTGAATGTAATGTGATGTTACTTATGCTTATCTGTGCAGGAAGGCTTGATATGCTGGAATTAAATCTTATAGATTCTGGCCAACAATATTAAATGCCCTGTACCATGGTGTTTGTTATTTTATGGAATGGATGCAAACAGTAATTCTAGTAGATTCATCAAACTTACATTTATCAATAATCACCTATGGAGGGATTTGGTCTAGGTATGCTAGTTCCAAAACTGGGATAAGAACATTCAGCCATGTAAGAAAAGAGCTGAGCTAGCTCATCCCTTTTGGGTTGAGTATTATTGTTAAACACTGATAAAAAAAATCAGAGGCTGAAAGTCCTCAGGTCAAATTCTGCTCTTTTATACATATGCAGCTTTATTTAAATTCAGTGTGTCATGCTCAGTTAACAGAAAGCAAAATGTAATCTATTTACATTAATAGTCTAAAAGCTGCTGCTTATCTACTGCCTTCTGCACAATGTTCCTGCCCATTTATTCAAGGACTGTGCTAAACCAGAGCAAGTTAGTTTAAATCCCCCAAAAGATAGAACCCGTGAAAGGGATGGTGTCAGGAGCCAGAGTGTAATTTCCCTTGTATTACCTACCAATTTGCTCACCCTCAGACTTGTGTATTATTTTGCATTATGTCCACTGTGGAAATGCATATACAAGCCAGGAAGGGGTTTTATGATTATTATGGACTTCTGATGTGTGATATGAACCTGCCTGAATTAAGAGAATATGAAATACTCTGCCCTTGAATGGAGGAGAGAGTGAGTGAGAGAGCTCATAAATCCCGTTTGGTCTGGGTAATTATACCGCCTGCTACTTAATGTAATTTTTCTTTGTTAAGGGCTGTATAAGATTTCACTTTGTGCTTAAGGGTTTCTTTTGAATCCTTTCCAATGACCACAATGTTTGTATCAAAGAACACTTGTCACAACACCTTTTTGTGCCTCACCTATTTAGGAATTTGTCAAAAACCAATATTGTATATATAGAAAGAATTTATTGGTATTACTTTGTAAGTATAAGCACCTCTTGCAACACCCTTACTTATGCCCTGGGTGACCACCTTAGAGACCTAAAATCAAAATTTAATATTGTAGGACTGCCTATTAACATAACTGCATCCATACCTGAACCTGTTCTTACCTCAGTAGCTTGGGGAAGGAAAGAGGAGATGGCTCTGCTGTGGGTTCAGAAGGTTAACAATGCTGGGCTTCAGCGGATCAAGCAAGAGTGAGTTCTAAAAACAAGGACCTCAAAAGAAATTATGCTTTGTCAGTGGCTCCCTCTCATTTATTTCAGGGAGAGTCTGTCACATTTGGTTCTGATGATATCAAACTATAGCAAAGTAGCAAACAGAGCAAGGACATCTATAGGTTAAAACCAATACCTTTGGTACTCAAAAGCTTATTGAAGAGAGTGCAGAATACAAAGTACTGGTTTAATGTGCTCACAACTTGAGAAGCAGACTTCAGCATTTTGTACTAGTTTAACTTTCCAAGGTGTAATCCCTCAGGCTAGGTACAGACATTCAAAAAGCCCAAGGCAGAATTGATCTAAATTACGTGGATTTATGTACCTGGCATTGTTTAGATTGGTAGCAAACAGAACACACATTTGCCCTTTGGGCTAGGGACAGACATTCAAAAAGCCTGGACCTGAATTGATTCAATCTTTGCAGGTTAGTCTAACCTGGCTAAACTGAACTGGTTTGCACCCACATGGACTTTGGACTGAAGAAATGCAGGGAGATGTCTGCAGTGACTCAGGCTAGAAGCCAGGGGGTGCAACAGCAGTCTTTCCTTCCCTTTGACAGTACTGAGCTGGGGGGGGTGGCCAGGTCCTGGCAGGTTGCTCTGATTAGGGAGTGGTTCCTCCCCACCCGCTTACTGTTCCTGACCAGGAGGGAGCCTGCAGACTGATAACACAGCATTTATCAGCTCATCAAGAAAAAGAAAGCCTCTCTTATTAGTTCAAGCTCTTCTTACACAGCTTTTTGCAAGGAAGGAATGGAGGGACATTACCAGCTGACGTGTTGATTAGCTCTAAAAAGCCCTAAACAGACACTGCCCTGTCTGTCTTACACAATCACCTCTCAGCATTAGCTAGCATACCACATGCTGACTATGGTCTGTCCTGTAAGGGGGGGGTGGGGGTGGGATCCTTGCTTGAGGAGCGGGGAAGGGGGAAGCCAGGCAAACCCTGCCATCTCTGCTGGAGCTTCAGCCAGGGAGTAGAGGGGCAGGTCCTGCCCTGCTCTGGAGCAGAGAGCCCCACCCAGGGCTGCAAAGCATCTGGGATGCTGGGGGACTCTAGCTGAAGTTAAACCAGGAAGGGGTCTAGGACAGACCTTGCATAAACTGGTTTGACCCAAATCAGTTAAGTCTGATAACACATTCCACCAGGTTTATCTCAAACCAGTTTTATCCACTGTCAAACTGATTTATGTGCACTGAATATCTGTTCTATTACAGGTTTAAGCCTGTTTCTGATCACTTAAACTGTTTATGTGTAATGTCTGTCCTTAGTTCTAAATCCTAGACTGAATTCCACCACTTTTAAACTAGTCGGTGTACGCTGAACTTTTGTTCTGTTTTGGATATAAACTAGTGTTGTGTGCCAAACTTTTGTTCTGTTATGGGTATTGACTGCTTTCTGATCACTTGCATTGGTAAAAGTGTAATATCTGCACCTGGCCTCAAGAGATTATATTGATGCAAGCTAAAGTCAAGGTGTCAAATGCAAGGGTGGTTGTAGAAAGTTGGGCATCAGAGAGAAGATTTAGTTAACTATAGATGGAAAAAAGTGCTGCTTAATGAACAGGAGGGCAAAAACAATATCAAACAGTAGATCATCCAATGTATTTTTTAATATCCTAGAACACTAAATACATATATGGTGGACACTAAATACATATACGATTCTACATGAAAGTGAAACAATGCATTGCTGATAGAGTTAAATTTCAGTTGGCTAATGTTAATAGGAGTTACTCATGTAACCAAAATGTTTAAATGTATCAGTAGCTACAGAAGCATTCATTTAGTATTGTTACAAGCTACTGTTGATTTTTATGAGTAATAGGGGAGCAGTTTGCATTAGAAATACTGTATAGAGAAAGAAGTGCTGTTCAGTTGAAAATGGAATATTTTGAGCCTCTGGCAATTTTGTAAATGTTTTCTATTATAAATAAGACGTTTAACAGTGTATATTTAAAAAGCATGTGTATTTAAACCTTTATGGTCCATACCACTTTAGGTGGAATTACAGTAAATTGCCACATTTTATTTCCATAATTAGCTTATAAAGTGCCAATTGATATTGTCCTGAAGTTTATGTTCAGCACATTTTAACACCAATCATATCTTGGACAGCTTGTATAAGCTCAATTTGATTGTCTCCTTGGGAAATGTACATAAATTTTCCAAAGAGACAATCAAATTGACCTGTGTGTGTGTGTGTGGGTGATCTGCCTAAAGAGGAAACACCTTTGAATAATTAATTGAACTACTGAAAAGGGTAGGATGATGATCAGCTCACAGACTATGATTATAACTATGCACAAAACAATTTATCTATACATTATTTTAGAAATATATGTAATTATGATCCTGTTTCTTTTTTAATCTCTGTAGGAGCTTGGAAGTAACAGCCCTCCACAGAGGAACTGGAAGGGAATCGCAATTGCACTGCTGGTGATTCTAGTTGTCTGTTCGCTCATCACTATGTCTGTCATTCTTTTAACCCCAGGTAATCATTCTATCCATCTATCTATTTATGTCTATTTTACTGAAGGCATTTGTGTCACAGTATAATAATCAAAATGACTTAAAGGGTAACATTAACTTTTGCCTTTGAACATTTTACCTTCTGGCTACTTGAAATTTGGTTTGTAGAGCAGGAATTCATACATGCCATGGGCCACATGGAACAGAAGGAGCTCAGTGCTGAAGCATGCATAAATCCCATTAACTTCAACAGAAGGGTTAGACAACAGCTTTGTGGTGTAATTTCCATTTTTGAGGTTCATTTAGAGAAGTGTACAGGTTATAAAGCACTAAATTATGAATATGAATAACATATAGCTAACCACACCACGTGGAGAAAAGACAAACTATTTAATAGCAAAGATACAAAGACATATAAATACAGTTTCAGGCCTGTTCCAGAAAAAGTAAAGAAAATTTGACTTTGTTTTATTTTTTTTATTTTAACTTAATCCAAGAAATGTTTCAGAGGGAATTCTTGTTTCTTGGTATAGCAACATTTAAAGTATGATTAGAAATCCAGAGAGAAGGGAACCTTGTACATGTTGTAAAAAAGAGATGCATCTAACTGATTTCTGTCTCTAGTATTGAAGTTAACATTCAAAACAGATTAGCTGAGCTGCTTTTTTCTGTAGTAAATATTGGCCTGGATATATTTTCCTCTGGAAATGTTCATTTGGTCTGTATTTGAATGTGCTTTAAAAATTACATAGCTCTGGGGATGCTTGCAAACTTTATTGATCAAGCTGTGTATTTTTCTGGTTTATGAGTAGTTGCATTCTTGGTTGTATTTGTGTATTTATTGCATAATAAACTAGTATACTTTGTGATTCAATCTGCATATAAGCAATAATTAACACTTGCAGATTAATCTGTATATTTTAGCCCGTGAGGGTTTAAATACTACTCTAAATGAATCATATTTTGAGCTGGAAAGCATTGTATAGGGTTTTTAGATGTGATAGGCCAAATTCACCAGTGACAAAAGTGAGGATTTCAAGTCTGACTATCACTAAACTAGCCTGCTAGACATCCTATGTAGGCAGAATAGTCTAGGAACAACTATGCATGTGTGGGCAATTATTTTGGGTGGAGGACCGCTTACTGAATTTTGACAAGCCTTCGAGGGTTGCATGACAGGCAGCCAAGGGCAGATAAATATTAGTTTTCTAAATTTCTTTACGGGCCAGATAGAATTGCCTGGCAGGCCGTATTCAGCCTGCGGTCTGCATTTTGCCCACCCTTGGTATATATATTCTCTGTTTCTCTGTGTCTCTATGAATACATGTAGTCATTTTATTTGTCTATTTTTACATAAAGAAATAATACAATATCCTACTGTCTTTATGTCTATACCTACATACACACACGCGCATATTTAAGTGTGTGTATATACATACTTTCACATGGATATAGCCCACATATATGCAGTCTCTCCTAGTCTCTTCTATTCTATCCATATTAAAAAAAAATCCAGGAAAGACTAATTTAGTTGGATTTAATAATTTTTTAAACTAATGAACTTGACCCATCATATCTAAAAACCCTGCATCTATGCTGTAGCTCAAAATATGATTCACGTAGTATAAAATTTATATATGCCTGTGTGTGCATAAGTACGTAATATTATATATACATAAATACATATGCAGTGTATAATGATGTAACTTATTGTGTGATAACAAGCACTGCTTTATGGAGTGGCAGCTCAGGTGTAGATGAAGGAGAGAGAGTTTGTCAAGGGGAGAAAAAGGAAGCCTGCCGGAGGTAGGCTTTTGCTTCTGTTATATTAAAGAAAGGTATACTACATATTCTGAAGTGTTACTCAGGCAATGATAAAAAATGATTGTTTAGTTGTCATCCATTTGGAACATACTGCAGAAATTGAGCTGGACTCATCTAGTAAGTAAGGAGGTTTAATAAGGAGGTGTTTTTAGTAAGATTTCTTTTATTTTTCAGGAAGGGAAAATTGGAGGGCATGTTGCATATCATAAAGCAGCAAACTCACCATTGTGACTGAAGTCTTTCTTTGCAAGGAAAGCATCTCTTGTTTGAGGCTTTGCAAAAGCTGGACAATGGGTGCTTACATACGCCTATTGTAATTTTACATCACATTTATATACCATTGTAAAGTATGTTTGGATCTGGAAAAGATAGACATTGAGCATTTCTGAAGTAGTAGGCATTATTACAGTTTGTCATCACCAGAGATGCATGTAGGCAGCACTGTACCTAGACTTGTGGTGGCCCCAGGCAAACTTTTAGTATCGGGCCCCTCTTTGCCAGAGATGATGATGATGATGATGATAATAACCATTACTATTTTGGGGTCCTCTTTCTGTCCAGACCCTGAGCAGCTGCCTTGTTTGCCCAGCTGCCTTGTTTGCTACATGCCGGCCTGCATGTAGAGGAAGAGGGGAGGAAAGAGGGAATAGCCCCAGGACAGAGAAGAGGAGGACAGAGGACACAGAAGAATTAAACTGGTGTGACTTACACTGATACTGTTTTAGGTTTGATTCTTTTAGGGGTAATTCTTCACTGGATTGAGCGATATTTGTGGTTTGGTGGTTTGTCCTGTGCCTGCTTGCTTGTACAGCAGGGAAAAACATTTCATCTGTCCACACCGTAAGCTGAATGATTAATACTAGTCCATCCAAAAAACCCAATAGTTCTAGATTGAAGGTTTTTTTAAAAACATTATGGCTGTGTACAGAGGTTCAAAAAGCTGGAGCAGGAATCAATCTAAATTTACACAGTTTTCTGTAAGTGGCCTAGTTTAGATTGGTAGTGAACAGGATACGCATTCACCCTTTGGGGAGAGAGTGGGGGGCTCACAGGCTGCCTGCAGTGGCCAAGACCCGCAGGTTGAGGATGTTTCTGCATGCCTTCCAGCATGCTTCACAGGTAGGCCTGTGCGAAGCAGCTACTATTTGTTTCGGATATTGACGATTTGGGGGACAGTGATTCGATCTGGTGATTCAAATCACTGTCCCGAATCAATTTGGCCAAATCTGATTTGGAGATTCAGCTGCTGCCGAATCAGCCAAATCTCCAAATCACACAGGCCACAGCTCCCGGCTCTTTGAAAAAAAAAAAGCCCCCACTCACTGGCTGCTGCTGTGTGGGGAATGATCCCAGCTGCTCCCCTCTGCCCCGTGCCACATCTGCCATGAGCTCCCCAACCCCCACCTGCTCTTCCACCCCTACCCCATGGCTGCCCCACCCACCCCAGGTCAGCCCTTTAAATAAAAATAAAAAAAAAAAAAATAGAAACACACCTCCCACTCACTGACTACTGCCTGGTCGGTGGTGGTGGTGGTGGGGTGATCCTTGCTGCCCCACACCACATGGCGGGGGCTCTGCCATGAGCCCCCAGAAGCCCCGAGGCCACTGCAGGAGCCGTTGAGTGTGGTTTTTTTTTTTTTTTTCCCCTTGGTTTTTTATTTTTATTTTTTTAAAGGGCTGGGAGCTGGGACGGGCAGGGTAGCCATAGTGGGGGCTGGGGTTACGGGCGGGGGTCAGGGGGCTCATGGCAGAGCCCCCACATGATGTGGGGTAGTGGGGGCAACAGGGATCTCCCCCCCACTGGCAGCACCTGGTGGGTAGGGTTTTTTTCAAGGGCTGGGAGGTGAGGTAGGCGTGGCAGCAATGGGGGGGCTGGGAGAGTGGGCAGGGATCTGGGGGCAGTCGGGAGGTTGCGGGAGCAGGCAGGAGAAGGGGCTTGGCAGGGGTCCCCTCATGGTCCCCTCCCGCATCCTCCAGCCCCCTTTCCCTGCCCCCTACATAGCAGCTCGGAGTCCGGGTCCAGTTCCCCGCTGCAGCCAGCAGCAACTTCCTGAATCATTGTAGCTCTCTGAATCTTTTCAAATTGATTCAAAGAGTTTGAATCGATTCGGACCTTTTAATTGGTCCCTTGATTCTATTCAGATTTGGTGATTTGGCCACCAAATTGGACCGAATCTCCTCTGAATTGAATCAGCACCTGAAGCTTTGCACAGCCCTATCCACAGGTTCCCCAGGCTTCTGGAGACTTCCAAGTACAGCTGAGCACCTGGGCCACCCATGACTAGCTGCCAAGCATGGACAAGCATGACCCCAACCCCCTGGCAAATCACTGCAGACCCTCCCACATGCCTAGCCCTAGGCTACTAAAAAAGTCTCAGAGTGAGCACCGTCCAGTCTGAATTCACATGCCTCCATGTTCTGGCCTGCCTGCACCCTGCTGTAGCATCTCACTGCCCATGCCCAAGAAGGAAGGAAAATCCAGGAGCTGCAGCATGTCCTGCTTGTTGCCCTGCACAACTCTCACTGTGGGACATCAGACATGCCCACCTGGACATAATGGGGCAGCTGGTCACCATGGGACATGGGCCTCTGAGCTAGCAGCTGGATGTCCTGCATGGGGCCATCTACTGCTTCCTGCACCCAACAAGCATCCTAGACTGGGCCCCCAACTTTTATGTGGCTGATGAGGATGAAGCCACTCAGGATGCCATGCGAGTTGGAGTCCTCTGGCCTCACCTCCTTACCATTAAGCACCAGTTTTGGGCCTGTACCACCAACAGTGAATGGTGGGAATGGATCGTCCTGGACACCTGAAACAATGAACATTGGGTCCAGACCTTCTCCATGCACTGGGCCACCTTCATGGACATCGTTGCCCAGTTAATCCCCCACATCGTATGCCAAGAGATCAGCATATGGCTACTCCTCACCCAGAGAAGTGGGTAGCAACTGCCATCACAAAGCCTGTCACCCACAGCAGTCTCCTCCACATTGCCTCTCCAGCCATAGACTAGCCAAACTGGTTGGCAATCTGGGAGGTGTGTCTGGTCATCCAGGATGTCCTGGCCCACTGCTTCATTTACCTTGTCAACCCACAGGAGGTAGTTGCCAGCTTCCACCACATGGGCTTTCCTAATTGTGTGGGCACTTTGGATAGTACCCAAATCCCCATCCTTTGCCTGCCCAAGGATGCCCAGG